CATGGCTGCGTGCCAAATGGCAGAATATCGATGCCGATTAGTATAATCTCATTCATTACTTAGTCAAGAACGAATTTGTACTGCGGCACAACGGACTCGCACGTGGCGCAACCAAGTATACACGATCTGAACGGTCCTGTTAAAAAATATGGCTATACTGGGACGCATGCGCGTGGCGTGGCTCGTGGGTGCTCGTGCATGTAAGCCGCCGTTGCTACGTGTTCTGAACCGGCGTCATTATCAGCCACCAGCATTATAGTTAGACGGATGGCTTTCGTTCGTTACTGTGTTTGTTGTTGGTAGATCTCAGCGCTGTAGTAATAGTCCCCACGCCATCGCTAACGCCATTGTCTGCATACCATCAACATGCAGTGATGGGAATGCCCATCGCGCTCCACCGCGCCCGTATTCGCTCTCAGTAAAATGTGTCATTGTGGGATTTTAATAAATTGATTTTCAGGAGCAATTTTTTTTAGCAAGTAGCGCATATTTTCGCGCGCTTAGCAGACACGCGCGCACGCAATCGTCGCGTAGGGGAGGGGGCGCGTGCCAACGGTGGCGTCGCGTGAAATATGTACATCTATTATAGATCCCGCTCTGTTCTATCGCAGGTCCGAGTCGACGGGACATGGATGGACATGCCGCAATACTTCCCGATGCATCACTCGCGCGGCAACCGAGATTATTTTCTCTTTCGTTTTCCGCGATTCGAAAACGACGTTTTCTACGATCCAATCATCTACATCAGTGAGACACCCGAGGATCACAGAGCGGCCGCATCGACGAAAGGCTCCGCGTTCAGCGCCATCTTTGGGAAGGGCTCGATAATTTCAACATTATTTTCATCGTTAATGAGTGCCGTAGTCGTATTGTGTTTTCACTGACACGAAGTTTATGGAGTATTACCTTGTACCAATTTCCTCTTATGTGTGTTTGTGTGCGCGCGAGCAACGTACGTGCGTGCATGATTGCTGAGTGGAGGCGTGCGGACGAGCGTGCTTAAGTGCGCACGCGTGTGTGTGTGTGCTGTGCTGTGCTGTGCTGTGCTGTGCTATGCTATGCTGCGTTGCGCGCGCGCGCGCGTGCGCGTGCGTGTGTGTGTGTGTGTGTGTGTGTGTGTGTGTGTGTGTGTGTGTGTGTGTGTGTGTGTGTGTGTGTGTGTGTGTGTGTGTGTGTGTGTGTGTGTGTGTGTGTGTGTGTGTGTGTGTGTGTGTGTGTGTGTGTGTGTGTGTGTGTGTGTGTGTTGGTAGAGTATTATCGCGTGCGTGCGTGCGTACGTGACCGTGTTCCAGTATGTATGTATGTATGAGCGCGTGTGTGCTGCGTACGTGCCTGTGTGCGCGAGCGCGTATGTATATGCGCGTACGCATTGAATATTATAATCATTGGGAAGGGAAGCGTGCGTACATTACTTTAAGGTACGCAATCACCTATTCAACGATTAAGTCCATTATTATTAATTACTCCTGAAATAGTGAATTAAGAGCGTGCTAATGACGTTCGCAAAGATGAAAAGTGAGTGGTAGATGTTTAAAACATTGATCTGCCCATAATAACGACTAACGGCGCTCAGACGAGGGCAGGGCGCGCATGACGACGTCGGTAGCAGACAGATGACGATTAGGCCGCAGCGACAATCCACCACGAGAAATCAATACGGCGAGGCGTTGGTGGTGCCGTCTATAACGCAGCGATATCATTATTATTACGTTGATTCTCGGTGAAGATTACGTATTCAGCGTGTAGAGTTGGCGTAGCTTTCTTTACCTGCAGTTTTCTACGAACGTTACATTGTAACCGAGAATAGAAGAGGCAATGTATCGCGATGCCGGTTGGTATGATTAAGATTTGCTGCAGCACGACACCTATCGGGTAGATTTTTGACCATTATATTACACATATACGAATGAGTTCATATTCTTTTCAACATCAATCAGCACGTACGCACGTACTTACGTACATGCACACGTACGGCGTGTGCACGTGTGTGCGCGCGCGCGTGCGTGCGTGTGCACGTGTGTGTGCGCGCGCGTGCGTGCGTGTGCGCGTGTGTGTATGAATAATGTCTGTATTGTATTTAAACGCTTGTTTGCCAAAACATAACAATAATAAGAAGGATATGGAAGTAATGGTTACGATCCTTCCTTGCACGAAGAGGACTGTGATGTTAGTGTTTATACATGCGTCGATGTGCAATATAGGCAATAGGAGAATCGAATTGACTGTTTTATTTCAGTCCTAGCAATAGATTTTTGAAGCATTATATTTTGGAAGACGACCCCTTATTAATTGATGTTTGTAATCCCAAATGTAATACCAAATCGACTGATGTACCGCCTAATACGGCGCGATCGACGTCACGATATCCAATGATGCTGGCCACAGAGAAAGGCATTCACGGTTTCGTGGTATAATTCGTCGGCTTTCGTCGGTATATCTGCTTGTTCAAACAGTGACCGATGAATCGCGACTGTGGCGCTAGGCCCGCAGTTCGGTCTTCGTTTACAATATGTGTGCATATAGCGATAACCAGAACTACTTGACCTTGGCTTCGTGCTTATATATATGGCTCAGTAATTTGCTATCAATATGGAAACGGTTGGCAGGTAATGGGTTTTCCGGTGTTAGCCCCTCTCCCAAACGCACACAGACATATATATATATATACACTATAATAGTAGTTAGTGCATCACTGCAGTGATTTGCATAAAGGGTTAAACGATTTAGTTACGTTGCAATATCTAGAACTAACTTCATTATAGTGTGTGTTTATTTTTATGAATAATTATATCACACGATCTCTAGTATATGTTCTGCTGGCTGTCGTTACGTAGACGATAAAAGTGAAACAAGAGTAGTGTACTGTCATAATTAATATTCCTTTAATTTGCATTATTGACGTTACTGACTGTAGTACACAGGCTCGTGTGTTTTGCATAATATTTGAGTGCGATCCAATAACTGCGTGCGATGTATTGCAGTGTGACGTATACGTGACGTAACACACTATTATGTTATATATATGTTTAATATGCATTATTGTACAATTGCACAAAACAATATTAATAACCGGTTTTTGCTATACAATCCGTATTGTAACCCTCTAGGAACCTCGCGCCCGCTATAAACAGTGGCTAATGAAAATAAGCTGATATTATTTACTGATTGATTGAAGACAACGCTTTTGTTGGCTGAACATCGGCTGCCATTAAATGATAAACGTCATTATTCTTTAAAAATCTGCGTTTGGTTTTCCTATATGGCAACTATAGCTAATGGACGCTATTTGCACCACTGTTTCAAGGTGCCCCGCATCGTAATATAAACTCGTGTTATTTCAACGTCCAAAGCGGCTTTTAGAAATGTGTTTTTAATGCTCATTTAAAAAACCATCCACGGAAAACAAAACAAAACGAGAATCGATCTCCCCTGTTTTGATCGTTCCTTACGTTTTTTAAAAATCATTTAATCATTTTATAAGTAGAAATAGATTGAAACCCCAGAAAGCATTGTGTTATGGCTAATTGAATTAAACAAAATTTTTCGACAATGTGCCTTTTAGAATATTGTCTTTTATTGTAACTTTTTACAAAATACTGCTATAAAATAATATGATGTCTATCTACACATTTATCTTCTATTATTATATTCTATGATGGCAGCGGGATAACCGAGTGATGTTCCCCACGAATTATCTGGTAACTGGGATTTATATGTATATCGCGTGAACCCTGTGCGTTTCCATCACTAAAAACAATTCCTAACCTTATATAGTCTCACATAATGGCGTATTCTGTTTCTCTGTATACGGGGATAATGCGTATATAAAGATTTCCGTTGACACATTCTTTCCTAAATTAGGTTTCCTTCCGACGCTAGGAAACTCGTTTTTTGTGTTTGCAACCCACTATCGCAATCCAAATCCGAACAATAAATTGTGTTGTTAGACGGGAATTAAGTGGGCCATTTTTTGCGCGTGCAAGCTCCGCGCTCTCTCAATTACCTTGGATTGCTGCTGGTCGCTTGACCGCTCTGTTCAACTGTAGTAGATCGTGCCCAGGGGCGAGAGCGTCTTTGAAGGCTAACTACTTCAAAAAACTGTTGCATACTGTCGAAGAACCAGTACTGCTGCGTGTATCTTTTTTGCATAGTGTGTACATACGTAATTTGAGGTTGTTACTGACGGTACCTCGGCTTTTTTCAGTTCGTTCTGCAGCCAAGTGAGTGCGAAATTTTACCTGCTTGTCTGTACTCTATCGCGCTCATTCGTTTTCTCTCTCTCTCTCTTTCTTTCTTTCTTTCTTTTTCTCTCTCTCTCTCTCTCTTTCTCTCTCTGTCTCTCTCTCTCTCTCTTAGTGTCTCTTCCCTTCTCTCGCCCATCGCGTTCTTTCTATCTCTCTTTCTATTTTTCTCTCATTCACTCTCTCTGTGTGTACCTTGTTCTCTTACGTTATTTTACGTACTGCCCCTTTTTATCTTTTATTCGCTCTCTCTTTCGCTCCGCACTCTCTCACTCGCTATCGTTCTTGCGCGCGCTCTCGCATTCTCTCTCCTTCGCTTCAGCTCTTTCTTTCTATATATTTATTTGTCTTTGTCTTTTCACTCTATCTATTATTTTTATTTTCTACTTGTCCTACCTATCGTATGCGCTTGAGTTCTCTTTATAAAATTACCTTTGCACTAGCTCTCATGCACTAAGAATCTCATGTTTAAATTTCCTTTTGACTCTTTTAACGTCTTCTCTGCGCAGTCTCTCCTTTCTCTCTTCCTCTCGCTGTCTCTCCTTCTACCCCTCTTTCTTTAGCTATTCATACGCGTTTATGCATCATTGCCTTACTAACTGTCTACTTAATTCCCCTCATTATCCCACTGTCAGTCTTTTTACGCATCTTTAATTAATTGCCCAAGTGGTTAACAAGTATTTGTTTTTTACTGTAATAATTTGTTTGCTTTTTAAATATAGTTTTGTATGGTACAGATTTAAATTAGGATACATTTGCTAATTGGATACATTTACCTGTATTTATTTTCTTTTATATTAACACATGTACAGTCAATAGAACTGTTAAGCTATGTGGTTAAACACTGCGCTTAGTAGCAGAATTCGGCGTAGACTGTGTTCTGAGCGTTTTGACAGATTAAAATGTTTACGCGTGATGTCGAATAAAGCTGTCTAAACAGGCGACATCATTGAGGCGTAAAATATAACATCCGTTGGGCTTGTTGTACGAACACTATATAAGCTTTAGCTAGAAAGACATACAGATAATCAATTCATTTTAAATGTTCATATTCATTTTTCAAGTTGCAAAAATTGAGGATGGCAGGAAGCCATTGGTGTCGAGCGATGGGATATTCAGTTTGTCACGAGGATAGATATCTACGCGCGTATCGCGCTGATACTCTGTCGATAACCATCGCACATTTCAGCAGGCAACCCGCAACATCAGTGCTCGTGGGGAGTGTTACGCCGCATGGGAGTATCTGACGGGGTAGCGACGTCCGGACGGAGCCGTGTAATAGTAGACATGCGCCGGTTGTTGTGAGCGTACTGACGCGTACGGCCTCCTAGCGTACACTACTGGCCTGGTCTCTCTCGCTCTGAAACACGACACACAAACCTGCTCATTACACAAACGCGTGGCGTCGCGGAGCCGAGCGAACAAAACGCACGGGTAAAGTAGCGGGCACGCAAAGACCGCTCCACACAGGGAGGATTTCGGCGGCTGTGCTGCAGCGAGGATTCTCTAACAGGCTCTGCATTTGTGTTTGAATGAAGCAGGGGGGTAAAATACTCATCTCATGCGTAGGCGGGAGCACAATGGCAAAATCTTCATTACTGCTTTCAATCAGGCGAGTTATTCTTTTCGCATCTTTATTTCACTCATGATTAAGTTACGTTACAGATAGTGGATGCATCAATGCAAATTCTCCGGCTCAGTTATTTTAAACGTTTACAATGCTTTTCCATCCGAATAGGTGCATTTTTAATCAGTAATTATCTTTTAAATACTTTTATCTAATAAGAAGGAGCTGCAATGGTTTTCCATGCTATTGTGCCAAAGAACACTGACTTCACTTGATTTAAAATTTAGAAGACACGAGTAATATACAGTAAAGTACAGATAACCATGCAGTTTAGTTGTATATCCATGCCAACATATACGTAAACCGCATGATTATGTTATAGGGTATGTTGTATATAATTATGTATAATATATATATATATATATAATTTATATATATATATATATATATATATATATATATACACGCAATCAAGTATTCTTAGCTCCTCCGCTTATATATTATATATATATATATATATATATATATATATATATATATACGCAATCAAGTTTCCAAGCTCCTCCGTTATATATTTATATATATATATATATATATATATATATATATATATATATATATAGAGAGAGAGAGAGAGAGAGAGAGAGAGAGAGAGAGAGAGAGAGAGGAGAAGAGAGAGAGAGAGAGAGAGAGAGAGAGATGTGTGTGTGTGCGTGTCGCGCGCGCGCGGGATGTGTGTGTGTGTGTGTGTGTGTGTGTGTGTGTGTGTGTGTGTGCGCGCGCGCGTGTGTGTATGTACAGATATATACACATTTATATATGCTCTACTTCCATTGCATTACATTACTACATTGTGTAGCCTAGCCATGACCTGCGGCCCGTTTTCAGAAACATCGTAATGTTAAGACTAATGTTAAGACTAATAAGGCTTCTAATAACGGGCCCCTAGAATCGAATCTGCGTTATTGCGGCCGAACGCAAGGTACGAACCAGACAACGGATACTGGACAAAAGCCTGCGTGGCTCGCAGTAATAATACATTAAGTGAATATTTCGTGGCGCTTTGGGAATTAGGCATGCTACGCAAAAACGTGAAGGATCGCGCATGTGACAAACACTGTGAAGCGTCGAGCGGTGACAGAATCTACAATCCCCTGTGGGAGCACACGCGCACAATGCTAAGACGCATGCTAATCTAATGCGGCGATGCAATTTTATCTAACTCAATCTGTTTCAGGCGTCGGAAAAAGGAAATTTACGAGAGAAAACAGAAAGAGGAAGATGTCGGGATTTAGCATTCATTCAGCTTTATTAGCAATATGGCCGAGTCCGCAGAGACAAAGTAACTTTGTCGACGAAGACTAAGCCATAAGCTATGGGCTATGATATCGTCGGAGGCTCGTAATGATACTCATAACCGAAACGGCGGCAACGCTCTGCGGACGGCAGCTAGTGTTTAGATCGCAGGTAAAATCAAGAGCTAATAATAATGTATTATTAGCTCTTGGTTAAAATGTAGGCGATACTCACGGAGATCTTGCAGTGTACGAGCGTGGCGGCGGCGATTGCACCGGAGCCGACTGGCTGGCTGCCTGTCTACGTGCGGCGTACGCGGGTGCCGATAGATATGCTTGCGGTTGACGCGTCACGTATGCTCGTCCCGCCTGTACAGGTACCTGCTCCGGCGCGACATACACGGGTACCTCGGAAGGTGGCGCACGAGGATCGCCGCGGTTTGCAACCTGGTAACTCTGCCGGGCGGGAAGCGTCCGCGGTGCAGGGTACAAGGCTGACCGGTCGACAGCGGGAGTCTCCTCTGGGGATGGACGTGTGGCTCTATAGTCCGGGGTGTATCTTCGTAGGGTGCCGGAAGGAGGTAGTTGGTGGGCGTCCTCAGGGGCTGGAGCTGGCTGTGTTCTCTGGCCAGGAGTAAACCGGCGAGGTGGTGGCCGCTGGTGGGCTGCCGGCGTATAGAGGGTCCTCAGCAGCTCCTCTAAGCTACCATCGTCATCGTCATCGTCATCGTTATCATCGTCATCGTCATCGTCATCGTCATCGTCATCGTCATCGTCGTCGTCGTCGTCCTCATATTCATCTTCGTAATATTTATCGTTATCATCATCATCATCATCGTCATCGCTATCTTCGGGCTCAAGATCATCTGGTTTCGGGCTTTCCTCGAGAAATCTGACAGTCTTTACATCGGGAACAGTTCCCACATCTTCCAAATCTTCGTCATCTTCACTCTGTAGAGGGAATCGACCTAAATATGCAATAAAAGAAACGACAGATATAGTACATAGGCAATGTTTGACAATGTGATATATTGATATAACATATCTATTATTAGTTCTACTCAATTAAGTAATTGAAGTTTGTATACAATGTATAGGCAACGTAGATAGTATGAATTGGGAACTGTACTTTTCGGGATTCGGGATTGGACCATATCAAACAGCTGGGATCCGAGCAATACCCAATAATTTTTTTTCTCGATTCGCGAATAGAAGCCAACCGAGACGCGTGAAAGCTAAAATTGCTATTTTAATTAACTGGGAACTATGGCATGTGTTTTACATCTAGGTAACTGGGAATGGACCCGATTCATTCCCCCTCATACAAACAAATAAATAGCGCAGACAACAAACGAAGCTACGTTAATGTCAGTATGCAACTCATTGTAGACAAATCAGCATAAAATTTAGCAGGAAATAGTATGAATGTGCGCACAGTAGCACAGAGTGATGTGAAGTACATAGTAATGTGCGCACAATAGCACAGAGTGATGTGAAGTACATAGTATGCGGAATTATTATGTCGATAAAACAGAACGTCTGAAAACCGAAGGGCGGATAATCGAGATTCTAGTATGTATGTGTGTGTGCTACATTACAAAAACGTGACTACAATATGCTTAACTACAAGTTCACCATAGTTCAGAAAGAAACTGCGACCGGGAAGTCGCTCGCCATCATCATTGTCCGTGAAGTCCTCGCCGCGGTTTCTATAGTCGATATCACGTCTATATGAGCCTACCTCAGCCCTATCCTGGTAGCCAAGACGACGGAGGTACCTACGGAAAAATATCAGTCGTGTATGTTCTGAACGGATTGATGTAGCGATTAACACCTAAGATAAATGCAATTAAGAATATACGTACATAATTCACTATTGTAATATAGATTTGTGTGTTTTTTGGCTCCTTACACTTCAATAACATGCACATGAAGCGTCTTGTTTGCACCAAACTGCTATATTATGCTGTATGGAAAAAACTAAAGCCGGTATTGCACGCGTGTGCATTAAATAACTAAACATTACTGTACTATAAATTCCGTTTAAAAAGAGCAACGTAGCGGGCGTTCAAGTTTATGTTTTAGCTTAGTTTTGATATGTGACCTCGCTTAACCACGTTGCGTTTATGAAATTGAGAGCTTAGTAAGGCTATGAATTTGCTTTAGATAGCCATTATTCAATGGTCACGTGTATTCGTATATTATAAATTGCATAGCTTAACATTATCCTTGCCTGACAAGTTAAAATTTAGCCTTTCAAAAAAGTCTACTCACTGTCCAAAATTATCGCCGGTGTACTCCTTGACATGATCACCTCTTTCGTAGTCACGATAGTCATAGTCATCGTCGCGATCAGCATAACTAATGATTTTTTCGAATTGCTTTACGTCGGGGTTTGCGTCGTGGCTATCGACTCTGGCCTGACGCAGCAATGTGTCGAACACGATCGAATCGTCAACATCGTCATAGTTCGTAAGACGTAGGTTGGAGCGGAATCGCCTGTCACGTGGCAGGTCGTAGAATAGACGCCTGTTAAAGAGCCGGTATGACTCATCCTCGTCTTTCACGTCACCTTTAAAAAAGAATAATCAACGCTAATCTAGAATTCTAATTCTAATCCAAGGTTGAAAGCTCATTTTTGTTCACAAAAACGTTGAGAAATATGTTCATGTAATTTGATATATATTTATGATTAGTCTCCAGTGTTTTCCTGTGAGACACGAGTAACATCCGGGAATGTACGTCTAGCGTTTTCGCGACGGAATTTGAAAGTAAGTGTGTCACGAAGAAATGCACATATCTTATATGAGCTCTCTGGATGACCGCCGTTAGAAAATTAAGCACGTTCAATGCGAATCAATGTGTGTGTGTGTGTGTGTGTGTGTGTGTGTGTGTGTGTGTGTGTGTGTGTGTGTGTGTGTGTGTGTGTGTGTGTGTGTGTATGTGTGTGTGCGTGTGTGCGTCCGCGCGCGTGTGTGTGTGTTTGTTTGTTTGTTTGTTTGTGTGTGTATGTGTGTTTGTGTGTTTGCGTGGATGTGTATGTTCGTGCGTCCTGTGCGTGCGTGCTGTGTGTGTGCATGCTGTTTGTGTAGTTCGGGACGGGAATACGGGGTGTGGTCAACAGCGCATCGAGCTCCTAATGACGTCACGCTGTGCGTACTGACTACTGACCCTGTACGGTGTCGGAGCTGTACTCTGCGTCTGGCCGGCGAATCACAGACTTCGGAAGCCCATTGTCTCGTCTCCTACCGGGAGGCGGAGGAGACAACGCTCCAGAGTCAGGAGGAAGGGAGCGGAAGCTAAGTTGTTGCTCGCCGCGGTGGGGAGGTGGTCCCTGCGCCGAGGCCAACTGCAATAATTATATAGAACCGGAAATATAATTAGCACACCTCATACATACTACAATACAATACCTCTAATTTACATTTTATTAACAAAGAAAAGGTTAAAGTGGTCTTATAAATTATAAGTAATCTATATATCTATACGTGTATAGAATAGGTGGGTGGAATAATGTCATTAAATATCTGCTGAATTTGGAGTAATGTCGGGTAGTAGTTAGTTAAAAAACAATATACATTATGATATATATTATGCACCTCTCTCTCTATATATATAGAGAGATATATAATACTTACGATTAAAATAACACGATGCGTTAATCTATAAACTTTACGTGGTGGAACAACAATAACGATAGCGATGTGTAGCGAGTTTCCATCAAAAGGCGTCTCAAACTTTTGCATGCCAATTTTTTATGGCCGCAAATCAAATATTGATTTGTTTCATGAACGCGAGTCGTTTAAATTCAATGCATAATGATATTCGACGCAGAATGCACGTGGCTTAGTGACAGAGGACATAGTATGAGTTAATGGATATGCATTTATACACGTATGTGAAATTCGCTTCTCTTGTCAAAATAAATATTTTGCTGTTAAACTTCAAACGTTTGCACAATGCTGATACACGTTTTTCAATGACTTGCTTATGGCGTGTTTCACTTATAAAACGTCTACATGTTCCATTGGCGACATGAATAAGTTATATTTTACATTAACGTAACATAAAATGCACCTACTTACCGCAAACCAAAGACATAGTATCGCCGGAAGCGTCTTCATGACGAATCTATAGAAGAAAAAGCGAGTAGAATTTATTCTATTTCGCGTCGGCTGAACATTTTTGATGACCTACTTTATATTGCTCGGGAAAGAAATTATTGCGACCAAACTGCATGCATTTTCTCAAAAAGTGGATACTAATAATTCGCGTCTATCTAGGAGACGTCGGCGACAAAGGAACGCATTTTACTGAGCGGGATTGGACAAAGGCTCTCGCAAATGGCAGATACTCGAGCTGTTTCGCGTCGCAAGCTCTATACAATAGGTGCGGTATGTTTTTCATGTTTCGGAAAAAAATATAATGATCCAAGTGGTACCCGTGGTGTTCCACAAAAAAATCCGACAGTAAATAAAGCTGGTTTCGCAAATGTGTTTTTTTGGTTTATCTGTCAGCTCGTAAAAGGGGTTTGTACTTCAGCTCCTGGACATCCAAATGGCTTTTAATCCGCTGGGCATGTATAACATTGAAATCGGATTTACACAGCCTGACTGTTGTCTAACGGAAACCAGCAATACACGTGTTTTTCGTGTCGCGTTGATTTTTGAATAACGTTGGCAATACCATGTTTACCCTGTCGAAAATAATCATCGTCGTAATATGCCACATATATGGGATAAAATAAACACTCCGCCTGCACTTATATATCTACTAAACAAGTTATATATGGTCATTACTCCAGCAGATCCGATAGTTCTGCTGTTCAGTTTGACGAAAGAACCAATAGTTGAAAAAATAGCAAGAGGAAATCTGTAGGCATGCTCATTCAACTGGAAATAAACCTTATAGTAAACGTTACCAAAGTCAGCTTTAATGCGCGAAACTTGATATAAAACACATTAACATTCAACACTCAAGTGCGTATAATATCATGTTAAAGAGGGTTTCAGTCTCTTAAAGTTGGTTTATATCCCAATAAACTATAGAGCAAACGCGCATAACTTACATTTATGATGATCCTGCCGAGCGGTGTGTCGCTAAACCTATCGCAGTGAAGCTTACTGACAGCTCTAAGATTCCTCTGCTATCCTGATTTCTACGAAGTATCCTGCGACCACGCGCACGACAAGAAACAATAAAGGCGGCACGTAGAGACGCCTTTCACTCTTATATACGACACTCTTATCCGCTGACCCACATTTTCACTTTTTCCTGGGCCATACTGTAATTATTGTTCGGGCAAGTCGTGAGAACGAAGACCCGTAAGCTCCTACGAAGAAGGCCGGAGAATGCCGATGCGTCATTAGCTGAAATCCCGATATGAAACGAGTCTTTGTTGCAGACGATAGTGAATCTTCGACGCCTAACCTTCAGTGAGTGTTTCAGGCATCGCCGTATGTCCACGGTCGCCGTCGGAGCGAGACAGTACGTAGTGAAAGATGTCTTTGATATTGCCACGTAGTGTACGTATGCAGGTAGGTGCTTGTCTGCGCACATTACAATACACGTGCTATGGTGATATTTTTTATCGTTTTATTAAAATACAGCGTGCTATAATTCTTCGGCAGACTGTGATGTTCCGTTAAGAAAAATACAAATTTCGTAAAAAAAAAAGATGCATAAAATTTTGATTATTAAAAGACATGTAGCATTACTTGAATTAAAATAATTTTTACCTTTCTTGCAATGCAAGCACATTTATTGCATGAAGAGGTACGCGCATGTACATGAATAAGGGTGACAATACACCACACACAGCGATTATATATGCGCGATATTTTGAGTAACAATAAAGGGCAGCGATAGAATTGTTTGGTCACATTAATAAAACATGTAATAATCCGCATCTCCGGAATGTTTTGCTACACATGCCGTGTAGAACTTTACCGTGGCGGACAACCGCCCATGCATTTAGTTCAGTAGACATATGGCACAGACACGACACAGGTAACCTCAACAAGGATGTTGGCTACAATTGTTGCATACACGAATCGCGTGCAACGAGAGAAATGCATTATTTTCTTTAATTCAGCTAACATTTACGATATTTCTTTAGACAGCAACCAGAGTGTTAAGATGCTACTGACACAAACGTGGCACTTCGTAAAGTAGTTTCTCAATAATGTCTCAGAAAGTAGTGTGAACATAGTGACGTAAAACAATTTATCGGCGGTAGGGGATAATTGCATTCAATTTCTTTCGCTGCAGCAACAGGTCTCTACCGTTAAGCGTATATATGTTTATCTAGAAGATACCGGTAACGCACAGATGCTTGATGCACAACTGTTTATCCATGGCAGCATCAAACCTTGATTGGGGATAAAGGATAAGCAGGAAAGCGGTTTTCACGCTGGTTTTCCGAATCTATAAGCGAGGTTTAAATGTCACGTGTAATTATATGGGATTACTGTATTACTAGAGATAAGTGAATCGTAAAACGGGTTTTCTGCTAACGCATTATATTCCCTATTGAACCTTTCATAGTATTTGTGAGATGATGCCGCTTAGTCACTTTCGTCGTTAGGGACATAATCTGTGAACAGTTTTGTTACTGTGTTGTTGCCACTTTTTCGTGTCTGACTATTTTGACTAGTATACAAAGGGTTGAAACACGATGACGACAGGGAATTAGTAACGCAATGGGCCATAGGGTTAGGAGAACAGGGTGGTGTTATATGAATGAGGGGTCCGTTACCAGGACGGATATGATGTAACACGAGGACCGTAGTTTACAATGGAGAGAAATGGAAAGGGTGGGTTTCTAGAAGTGGGTAATGTTGCATGGGTGAGTAGTGGATTACTTACGGATGGATTACATACGGGTGGTATTGCGTGAATGAGGGGTGGGCTACGTTGGTTGATGGTGTTGCGAGGGGGAGAGTTACAATAGAGCGTTATGTTACGAGGGGTTTGGTGAGTTACAATGGAAGGTGCAGTGTCGTCAGGAGCGGTGGGTTACGATAGAGGGTCACGTCGTCGTGTGGAGGAGAGACGGGTTACGGTGAGGAGTGATGTTGTTGCGTGGAGACAGCGAATTACTTGTTGCGGTAAAGTTACGAAGCGGTGGATGAGTTACTGCCTGTTGCATAGGGAAGGAAGGGGCTACTAAGAGGGGTTATGTTGCATAGGGGAGGGGTGGGTCATGATGAATAGTAATGTTGGGGTGGAGGGAAGATACGACGGATTGTGATGTTGGGGGAGGGGTTACGATGAATGGTAATGTTGGGAGGGGGTTACTATAGTGGGTGATGTTGGGAGAGGGTTACTATAGCGGGTAATGTTGGGAGGGTGGTTACTATAGCGGGTAATGTTGGGAGGGGGGTTACTATAGTGGGTGATGTTGGGAGGGGGGTTACTATAGCGGGTGATGTTGGGAGGGGGGTTACTATAGCGGGTGATGTTGGGAGAGGGTTACTATAGTGGGTGATGTTGGGAGGGGTTACTATAGCGGGTGATGTTGGGAGGGGGGTTACTATAGCGGGTAATGTTGGGAGGGGGGTTACTATAGCGGGTAATGTTGGGAGGGGTTACTATAGCGGGTGATGTTGGGAGGGGGGTTACTATAGCGGGTAATGTTGGGAGGGGTTACTATAGCGGGTGATGTTGGGAGGGGGTTACTATAGCGGGTGATGTTGGGAGGGGGGTTACTATAGCGGGTAATGTTGGGAGGGGGTTACTATAGCGGGTAATGTTGGGAGAGGGTTACTATAGCGGGTGATG